GTCCAATTGAAAGCCCTCTGCAAGAGCTAGCTTAAATGACGTCTGATAGGCCGTCTTTTAAGCCAGTAGTAAATGTCTATATTAAACCATTGACGACTTCAAAACGCAATATTAATAGTTTTAAACATTATAGAAAGGCATTTGTTTATTTGGTCTTGTATTTCTTTTTAATCATTGGACTCTTGATATTTGCCTTTGATTAATTTTTGCGCTTTTGAATGATCAGCACATTTCCGAAGAAGAGTAGTTCCTGCAAGTCCACCACTTCGTTTAGTGCCAAAAAAGAGAACACAGAAGTGTTAATTTAAGTTAATTATATTAGAGTTTCCTGGCATCAAAGGTCTTTTTAGTGAAAACGGGTTGAACATCCAATAACATTTGTACCTCTAGGATGGTGGATAAATTATTTTACGGTAGTTTTCTGGTTACGTTAGAAAGCATTTAACTTAACAGCTAATCACTACATATATCTTGTAGAATACCCTGTAGATTAGTAGATGTTAGTTAATAAAAGAACACGAAAAATGAAAGCGAAAGCGAGTGGGATTTTCACTGAAACAAGTAAAATAAATTACACATTTGTTATAATATTCTAAGTAGGGATTACAGTTGTATACAAGTAGTATTAGTCTTCTGTTGGAAAAGTCAACAAATTCTTTCTAATAGTGTCGTAACCGGGTATCGACAGAAATAGACTTCGTTTTAGCCTGCATTTATTTTTTGTGCTATAGTTTATTTATTCTAGCAAGGGCCGTGAATTACCTTAGCCAAATTTCAACAAAATTTCTATGTGCAACAACTTCCGTTATTCATTGGAGCTTGGCTGGAACTAAATGCCACTAGGCTATAATAAAAAGCACAAAGACAATTGGAAATGCTTTAGCAGTGTTTGAAATTACTCGAAAGTAGTTAAATGTCGCTTGCAGCTTTCACCAAACAGTCGTAGCGAGCTCTTGCAGAGTCTGAAATTACACTCTTGGGAATTAATTCCTTCTTAAACAGGATTATTGGTTGCTAGATTTGTGATGGCCAATCTTTATAAGTCACTGAGATTCAGGGTATAAATGGTATAATGTAAGAAAACACGAGAAAAAGAAATCATTATTAAGGAGAGAAAACAATAAAAGAAGAGAAATTAAGTGAACTGAAGATGACGATTGATATTGCGTTTGAATTTTTGAAGACCAAACTTGACTGGAAATCAAGAAGCCGGAAGAGAGTTCCACAACCGAGAAGTACGAGAAAAGAAACCGTTAGCATATGTTTACAGCTAACCATTTCAACTGTAAAATGATGAGACCTTGGCGCCAATCTAGTACTGCGCTTAAATTCATGGAATCTAGGTACCATAGAGGAAAGTTTATCAGAACAATTACCATGAAAGTATTTATAGAAAAGGCACAGTGAAGCTACAATATGGGGGTGGGAAATTTCTGATTCTTCTTTGGATTTTATCAACGATCTTTAAATATATAGCAGCAGCACCAAACCAGATGTGGCAGTAATATTCAAAGCAAGGGCGAATGGTAGATTTATAAATATGTAAGAAATTCTGGCGAGAAAAGTGATCTCACACGACACAGGGAACTAACTTTCCTAGCAGCGGACCGAGCAGGTAATTCAGTATAATCTTTCGAGTTCATATCAACAGAAGACGTTAGCCCAAGAAGAGGCAATAAATCTCTGTTTTGGAAGTTAGCATCAGCCATGCTTGTAGAAGGCAGAATGTTCTCTCAGGCGATTAATAGGGGCCAGCGTCGTTTAAAATTAACGAGACATTCCTTGCCCCATATGCACATTAGTTCAATGATACCTAAGTCGTTAATGATTCAGCGAGACAAGCTTACTGACCATTACACTACGTTGCAGTGCTCGTGAAAAGACATATATCCCATATCAGAGGCGCTACTTGGTTTCAGTGAGAAAATTAAAGAAATAAAGAAAGAAAGGAACATAGAAGTGTTTAACGTATCTTGCCAGTACCTCATAAATAATGAACTATTCGAGTTTGAGTTCTCGGAAAGATATATCAAAGACGCTACTTGGTTTCAATAAGAAAGAAGGAAAGAAAGAAAGAAAGAAAGAAAGGAGGGAAGATAGAAATGATTAAAGCCTGTTTCATTAAAATGGAAAAAGTTGCCAATTTCAAATCTTTTCCTGATTGTTATTGTAATGTTTTGTTAAAGCCGTTAAGCTCAAATATCTAACGATTTGTATGGATATTTTATTATCATAGAACTCGCTACAAGTTTATTCATCGTTAACTTAAGAATTAATATCCATCAGAAAATTAAAACGGGAAAATCGTATAATTTTCACGGGTATTTCTAGTAAACTCTAATTTCATTAGTGGGAAATGATGAGTTCAGATTTTGAAAACTGCAAATTTTACGAACGTATACATATTTTAATGGTATATGGTTTCAACAAGCAAAGCAACTGATGTGCGAAAGATTTGCTCAGAGTTGGAATAATATCTGCAAAGAAAACCTATCTGAAACATCACCGCCTTTTTATAATGATTTTTGTTCATAAACCCGAGATTGACTTATTGCATTTAGGTTCAAGTTTCAAAGTTTAGAATTTGAATTAACGCTAGAATTTCTGATTGGCGTATGAATCTCCCCGGGGGTTATATATAAAACTATATTCATTTTCTTATTTATCAGGGTATGAACAGGGTGTGAAGATACTGAAATCAAAGAGTCGGAACGAGAAAATGTGTGTGCACCAATGCGCATGGCCGTTATCCGGTATTGGGTTGCAAATTTGATATCTACGATTTATCCCAAAGGACAAACAACGAGGATGTTACGCTGGACTTGTTTTTCTCGTCGTCGTCGTCGTGTGGAGTGCGGTGGCGGGAAAAAAAAAATCTTGCCGTTCGGGTCAGGAAAGAAAAACAGGGCTACATAAGCAACGACCCTTAGAAGTGCAGTGGACGTGGTTTCTGCTCCGGGAAAGTGAAGCATTTTAACGAAGATGCGGAAAAACGAGCAGGTTTGAGATATTAGAAGAAATAAACTAAGAGGAAAAAAGAAAAACGAAGAATACTTTCTGATGGATAAACTTGCACGTTTCCGGCCTGTGACAGCGAAAAATTTTGAACTCTAATAGTCAAAATTTCAAACAAAAAAATTGCAGACAAATTTTTACTCACTTTCTATCCAAGTTAAATTACCCCAATATTTGACCTGATCCCATTTCAACTTATTGACAACTGTCTCACGTTTGGGAGGGTGGGTGAGATTTATTATTGATACAGTAATTGTGGCACAAGGCCGAAAAAAAGAGGGGAAGACTGGACAAGTTTGGTCATCACTAGCTAATAGGATTCCCGATCGATCCATTCGTTACAATATATTCATTCACCACAAGAATTTATCCGTCTAAGATCTCTGAGATGAGGGATTATGATTACTTGCATTATTTACACTATTCAGACGGTTGCCCTCATCTTCATTGCCAGTGGATAAAGACGTTGTTTAGATCCAATGACTAGACCCAAAGAGTTGTGAGGTCAGTACCAGCCCACAGCAGGGGTGAACCAAAAACTTGAAGAGTTGAGTTAAAGGCAAATAACTGAGACATCCGGAAGAGGCATGGCACATAGAAATAGAGCAATCTTACCCGGTGGATGAAATAAAGGGTTCTGTTCAAAATTCAACTCGCCTGAAGAAGGTTGAGAGTCGAACGGCCGAAACGTTGTGAATATAGCAATGAAGATGAGGATAACAGTCCGAATACTGTAAATAAGGCAGGTAAGTAATTATACGTCACAATTCACTCCTTCATACCGCAAAATACCGCACACACACTGGGCAACTACTGGGATTAAAACACGCACCCAATGAGTTAAAAATCCGAATATGTACGCGACCTGGGCATGACGATAAACTACATTCGCGTCCTGGGTAAGACGATAAACTACATCTGCGTCCCGGGTAAGACGATAAACTACATCCGCGTCCTGGGTAAGACGATAAACTACATCCGCGTCCCGGGTAAGACGATAAACTACATCCAACAACATGGCCTTTGATAATACTTTTTTGAAAAAAATAATGTTGCCATCTGTACTTTTTTGAAAAAATAATATTACGAACTATACATTTTTGAAGGAATAGTGTTGCCGGCTATACGTTTTTGAAAAAATGATATTACCAGCTATACGTTTTTGAGGAAAAAATATTAACAGAAATAGATTTTTGACAAAACAAAAATATTACCAGGAAAAAAAAAGTTGTCGGCATTAAATGACCCATTGAGGTGTTGATATGCCGTAAAACAGAACAAACCAAACCGAATATGTACAATTTGGGACGCTAGACCTTCATGAAACCTTGATGAAACTGTTTAGCAAGAGATTTACATTTGAAGATTATAGCTATCAGGGGAGCATGGAAGGGGTTACAGAGAGTGAGAGCAAGAGTAAAGAGGGGTGTCTGAAGAAAGGATAATTGTCGTTTATCAAGAGATTCACGTGAGCGACATGTGACCGACAGGTAAAAATCACGTGACAGTTACAGGAAACGAATAGATTTGAACGGTAGCATTTTTTAAATTATAAACCTATAATTGAAGCGGATTTGTGAGAAAAATATAATTAATATGACTTGAAAAAATACAAAACGATAATAAATACCGGAGTTTTAATTATACAATAAGGATATTTCTTTTAATGTTTGTGATTAATACCGGATTTTACGTTCATTAGTGAGTTAAGCAAATCTTGGTAAAGAGGAGAGAAATTGCGGAAGTAGAGAATAAATATGAAAGGTCTGAGGGAAGGAACAATAAAAAGAAATGGAGAAGTAAAATAAAAAAAAGAGCGGGAAAGAGGAGGTAAATTTTAGGGAGTAAAAGTCGACGAAGAAAGAAGATAAAAGGAGGAAGAATAGAGAAAATAGAAATTAAGAAAATGTATGAAAGAAATGGTTGAAGACAAAAAGTTACAAAATGATGGCTTGAAAAGAAGAGAGAAAGAGAGTGAGTAAAGATTAGAGTAGAAAAATTATAATACGATGGTTTTGAATATCGGAGTGAGAATACGGACAAACAACTCTCCCATAACGACTTACAAACATGGTGACAGCAGCAGCAATAAGCTGGCACTGTGATATCTCTTTATAAAAAGAATTAGATGATTTGAATGACAGAGAGAGGTGAAGGTTAAGAAAAATAAAGCAAAAAAAATGATCGATTTGAGAAGGTAAGTCGACAAGAAAGTTAATGACGATTACGAAAGAAAGATTCAAACATGGAAGCGAGAAATCAAAGGAAACGGTGTGGATAACATGGACAGAAGAATATTCAAGTTTGAACGAGAGATTGATTTGAAAGATACTGGGAAAAAAAACGAAAGAAAAAAAAGAAATGATTTGTATAAAATGTGGAAGTGAACTTAGGACAATGCAGAAAAAATGATTTGAGTGAGAGGTAGAATTTTATCAAGAAATTCACGTAAAAAATCAGGTAAAAATCACGTGAAAGATACCAGAAATGAATTTGGGCGACAGATAGGATTTAAGCAAATGATCCACGTAAAACATATGGATATCAAAGAAATAGACAATAGACTGACTTGAACGGTAGATAGATGTGCTATATAAATACACGAAAGAAAAAAAGGGAGTTATTTGAACGATGTTTTAAGCAAGGCAGGAGCGCCACTATCATGCTAGAAGTTACAGAGTGGAAGTAAGAGTAAAGAGGGGGTGTTTGAGGAAAGGATAAAGAGAAGGATGGGGATCAAGATCAAGGCATCAGTAGATGTCGATTGACATTACATTTGAATATTTGAAGATTATAGCTATCTGGGAAGTAAGTAAGAGGAAGGGAGTTCCACTGTCGGGAAGTGCGAGAGAAGAATCTGTTGGGATAGAAGAAGCGGTTACACTTAACTGTTTTCACAGTGAAAGTGTGGGACCAAAATGCCAACCTAGTAGCACGCTTAAATTCATGCAGTCGGGGTACCAGTGAAAATATTTCGTCAGAGTAGTTGCCATTAAAATATTTGTAGAAAAGACAGAGGGAAGCCACATCACGTCTGTAAGAAAGTGACTGTAGATGAGATGCCAGATTAGGACCTATCATATTGCATATCCGTCTCTGGATTATGTCGAGGGCCTTGAGGTGAACAGCGAGGGCACCAGACCATATTTGGCAGCAATATTCAATGCAAGGACAAATGCCAGATCAAGACCTATCACATTGCATACCCATCTTTGAATTTTTTAAAAGTGAAACGTAAGCCTAATAAAGTAAGAGTGGTAGTGAGATTCGAATGAAAATTGTCCTTAAAAGAAAACTAAACAAAGAAAAGAGACATGTCAAAAAGTAAAAAGAAGAATAAAAATATGTGTCATGCTTGATACACGCTTAGGGGATGATTTATCTTTCGATACATGACTGACGAGGCAGATTTTTTCCTGCAGTATGTAGCCATTTCTTTCTTTCAAGTTGCCATCCAAGGCTATAGGACCCGGTCGCTCCTGTTACTTATCCATAGCTGCGGGGAGAATATGAGGATTCATACCTTTCCAAAGGGTATTAGTACGTAAGTGAATGTAACGAATTCGACTGGAATTTGAACTCGGCTCTCCGATTCCTCAATCCAAGCCGCTATCCATTACTCCAACGTGAATAAAAATAAGGAAAAAATATTAATAGAAAAAAGGGACAATGTTAAAGAAACATGATAAAAAAATGGATAGAAAATATGAAAACGAACGAATATTTATTTTAGATTGAATATATTTAAAATTAAGGTAAAAAATGAACGGTGTTGGTAAATGATTAAGAGAACAGCAATCGGTGATGGAGGACTCTATAAAACTATGTGTTCATCGCTGATCATGAGAATGATGACGATGATGATGATGACAATTACAACTGAGATATTGTTAGCGATGCTGATGATGGAGAAGGATTCTACCGAGATAAGAGCGAATGATAAGCACGTATTTGTTGAAAGTCCCGAGCCAGAGGTTCTGTAGGTCGCAAAGAAGCAGAACAGAAGATCAGGTTTTATCTAAAAACTTTTCCAACACGTAGAGGACATAAAATATTCGCCTGTAAATGAAAACGGAGGTTTGATCGCAATTGATAAGCTTGATTGATTCCACGACTTGAATCGGGGTCGGCGCAATGTGGTCACTCTTTCTAAAAGCTCTTTCCACTCACTCTCTTCTGTCTTTTATACTCACTCTCTCTTTTCTCTCCCTCTCTCCCTCTTCCTCTCCCCCCTCTCTCTCTCACTCTCACATACACATGTACGGAGACTCGCCCTGGGTATGACGATAAACTACATCCGACAGCAAAGCCTCTGATCAGGAGTTTTTAAGAAGCGTAGAACTACATCTTAATTGATCCGGGGTGGTAGAACTTGTTTGGGTCCCAGTTATGGGCAAATAGAGAACCCCTAAACCCGAGTGAAAACATTATGAAAGTATAAAAATACATTTATGCAGGAAGAAAAATTACATTATTGGAAAAGGAAGAGAAAAATTACCAGCAATGCATTTTGAAAAAAAAAAAAAAAATTACCAGATCTCCCCGAAAAAATAAATTTCAGCATTATATGACCCATGAGGATTTGATATGCCGTTAACCAACCTATATAAATACTGACTGGGATGTATCCATTTTGAATAACACTTGGAACCGGTTATTTTTCATTCGTATGCTGGAGTTTTTCTTACAGTATATGTTCTGGATTATTCTAATATCCTTCTCAAATATATCAAGCTTACTAAACAGTTCAAACAGTTCTTTGTACTTTAAAAATGTTTTTGAAATATCTACAAAATATAGATATACAAGATTTTGTGTTTTTATTACTATTTCTGATATCACCCTGAGTATAAATATTGCCTTCCTTGTTCCAGTGTAGAAACCGCACTCTTCTTGTCATATCTCGGAATTAATTCTGTTTCTACGCTCTCTTCGTCAGAATTCGGATGATAAGTTTTTCTATGTGGCTCATTTAGCTGATGGAGGTCACAACTACAAAAATAAGATCGATATTGCAATCAGTCTAGCACAGGTGCTTTAGCCGAGCTACAGGTAAAATTAAGCTACTATCCTTTGTGTCAAGACTTCAGGTCACTGATCAGTTATACTTAATGGCTATTATAAAATGAAAGTGACAAGTGTTTTACCTTCACAAACGGGTGGATGCCTGGTCCCTTAAACAATTTTATGAAAAAATCACGAGAAAACTGTTGCCAGATCCAACTTCTTTGTCGTGAGAGTGATAGACAAGTACTTTACTTGGTGATGTTACGAACGAACCAAATCTGATTATTTTAAACAAGAAACTATGGATCCTACTCAAATAAGCTCCATTAATTAATTAATTGCTCAATAGATTTATTTTTACGTTTTTATGGTTTATTTAAACAGAGACATATTTTCAGGGGTTGCCATATAATTTAATATTTAGTTGAATTAATACTTCATTAACCCTTTTTTACTGGAAATAACAATAACGAAATTTTTAGTATTTAACTCATAGCAGGGGGTAAGAAGTGATGTATGAACGATCGATTTTTTAAATCGTCATCAACCCATGTAAGGCAGTAAAGCTACTAAGACACAGGGGGTTACGGGGTGTGGAAGAATTAGGAACAGAAACATTAATAATGAGCGGGTAGAGGAAAGAGTAATCAGGAGGGCGGTAGATAGCAATTGATATTGCATTGAAATTTTAAAATTTTTGCAGATTAAAATTGGCTGGAAAGCATAGAGCTGGAAGCGAGTTCCACAAGAGAGAAGTGCGAGGAAAGAAACTGTTAGCATAGAATTTACGGTTACATCTAGCCAACACAATTATAAATTGATGAGACCTCGACGTCAGTGTAGTACTCCGCGTAAATTCAAAAAGTATAGGTAATATAGCTAAGAGCTCATCTGAACAATTCCCATGAATGTATTTACAGAAAAGGCAAAGGGAGGCAACCATACATCAGTGGGAATGTGACTAAAGCCGAACTGCCAGATCAGGGCCAATAATATTACTGATTCTTCTTTGGATTTTATGAAGGAGCTCAAGGTAAATAACATGAGAACCGGGTCATATGTGGCAGCAATATTCTATATATGAGCGAATGGTAGCCTTTATATATATATATATATATATATATATATACTAGCCGAGGTATCCGGTGTTGCCCGGGTATACATGGCTTCAACTGTATAACCGCACACCATGTTTAGAAATGTCTGCCTGCGTCTCCGCTTGCATGCATTATCCGTTGGTATACTAAGCTACTCCCACACTCATCTTTCTTTATGGTATGTCCTTCGGAAGTGTTTGATTGTTTTTCATAAAGAAATTCCATCGATAAAAACTTCCTGTGTGGTCGTTGCTCGGGATTAAATTTTTTCAATGTTTTAGATATTCAGTAAATTTCCTATGGACGTAATAACTTTGAAATAGTATGGCATTGTTTCCAATTCCAGTAATCATGCAAAAACAGGGATGAAGCGCTAGAGCTTGGTCCAACTGTAAGTACAAACGCATGAACGCCCTCCTCTTTCTTCGCACGTTTACTGTAAAGTTGGGGTTAATAAGAGATTCTTCGAGAATTTTTCTTTTTTAACGCTTCAATAATCCTTCTCAAATAATCTTTGCATCAAAGGTTTTTCGAATGCCAATTTAGGATGGAATCGTATGAAGAAACTATTGGCTAAATGGCAAAATCCGATTTTGGACCCAGTTTGCCGCAGATTTCGTCCACTTAATTGAAATAATCTAACACAAACATTCATGCAAGACAATTTGCGTATCATTTGGCAAATTTGGAAAGCATCGGATAAAACGGGCTTTTTTTGTGTTTTTTTTGTTTTGTTAAGTTTTTTGTGGTTTTTCGTTATACGCGGGGAAGCCAATTGGACTACAACCACATTATCTTATTTTTTGCATAATGGCAAATTTTTTGCGACATGTTTAAAGAAAATAGGATAAAAATTAGGAAGTTATTAAAGTTTTATTAAGTTGTTCGAAAAACTTTTTCAATTTATTGTGTGAAGCTAATGTGAAAGGAAAACTATTACGCACTCTAAATAAACATCGTAAGATTAGCTATGTTATGCATTAAGTGAAAAGAAAATCAGTTCATCCTGAAACAAATTATTTTGCGTGTAACTTTGCCTTGGTTTTTGCAAAAAGTCGTACCCCCCTTCAGTTTTATCGATTTTTCTGCCAAATCCGGGGGAGCAGCTGGAGATTGAAAAGTCGGGTTTGACCTATATTGGTAAATTTTCAATATGTATTTAAAATTTCATCAAAAATCGATCGAGCAATGTGGACCTGCATAAATAGCATACACACACACACATACACACAGACACACGCACCGAGGCACAGAGACATCTGCCTCTCTCTTTTCTCTCTCTCTCTCTCTCTCTCTATATATATATATATATATATATATATATATAGTCGACTCTCCCGTCGAGATTCGACGTATGAGGGTCAAGCAGATCAGTTTTCAGAAAAGCGACATCCCGACAACGGCACATGAGATTTGATTATAGTGGTGAAGGACTCGTGCAGGACCATCTACACTTTTTGAAGGGCCGAATTCAGAGACCTGGTGCACTAAGTGCCACAAGGTACCCAAACGACCCTCCGCAGGTCTCTCTCTCTCTCTCTCTCTCTCTCTATATATATATATATATATATATATATATATATATATATATATATTGTTAGCGAAGGGATTTCGCTATTATATATCATTAACTTTACTAATATACTTTTTGTATGAATGATTCATTGTAGTATAAATTGAACTGCACCACATATTAGATTTAAAGAACTGATCCGACATGCAAATTTTCGAGATAACAACTGAGACATTACTCTATTTATTGAACTATTTAGTTCATGCCACATTGACTGATAAACTCCTACAACAAAAAAATTCTGAAATTGCCATATTATTAAAGAACGCACTCTCTTAAATAAAAAAAAAATTCAACCTTAGCGTTGCGACTGTACACTCCAAAAGTTTGTATCCGTTATCAATAACACATTTAAAAAAAAAAAAAAAATTCGATTCACATTATATTTTTTCGTCTCGGATGCTACCTGAATTTTACCAAAAACAAAATAATTTCCCTGCCTGAAAATGACTGAATGTACAGTCGAAAGTACTTGCGTATTAAAGTAAGACCTTAGACAGCTTATAATTTTTAAAAACAAGGATCATAACATTCATCGAGTGACTTGTAGCTTAATGCACCTTTAAAATCTTGCTAGCGAAGGGATTTCGCCATTTTATATCATTTACTTTACAAATCTCCTTTTTGTATGAATGATTCATTGTAATATATATATATATATATATATATGTATGTATGTATGTATGTATGTATGTATGTATAGATATAAATTAAAAGAAAGAACAGTAAGATATATAATCCGGTGTTCTTATAGATAATTTTGTAATTAAATTAAAGACATTAGTTCCATTTCATCCACAAGCGAATTTTGGAGTAACTTTTAAAAATTAAATTGGTCTTTTTAGCTTCCATTTTTGAAACATGGTTAGAACTGTGTAGCGAAATAAACCATATTCTAAATCAAATATATATATATATATATATATATATATATATATATATATATATATATAAAATTATGAATTAAGTGTATGGGTAAAAGGATATTCGCCGAAAAAAAAAACAGTACCACTGTAAATTGATGAGATCTCGACGCCAGTCTAGTGCAGCGCTTAAATTCTAAACGTCTAGGTACCACAGCGAAGGGGACATCCTAAATATTATCATGAAAATATTTATAGAAAAGGCACAGAGAGGCAACCTGACGGCGTTGAGAAAGTGTCTGTTGCCGAGCTGCCAGATCAGGACTAATAATATTGCTGATTATTCTTTGGATTTTATCAAGGAGCTCAAGGTAAACAGCAGTAAAATTATTAAATTCCGAATTGATGAGGTTGTCTACAAAATCAAAAGTCACCAAGCTATTCCGATCCAAGTTAGACCCGATGTCAAACCTGAAGCCTCGGTGTCATTTATTTAATACAAGAGGATTATTTGCACTGTCTGTGACTTGTTATAATGACCACTAAAACGGCACCTGAAAAAGAAAAGAAAATAAATTCCATGCACAGTTCTAATTTCTTTGTCGGTAATCAAATTTCTCAGCCGCATGAAAGTGATCAGTCTGCTCTTGGGGGGTCTTTAATGAAAACATTTATCGAATAAGTAACCCTAGTGTATTTTAGCTTTAAACTGAAAAGGCGGTAATCTAAGAATTTCAGATCTAGAAGCTGCCAGCCTCTACATCAGCGATAAAATGAAAATCTCAAAAACAAAAACGAAGTGTTTTTGCCATTTGAATTGAGAGCAAGTTTTTCTGTCGTTTTTATGCCAAGCGAGAAAACCAAATCCAGTGAAATTTATAAGTCGCCGATAAACCAACGATTAAAAATAGTAAAAAAAAAAAAAGTAATAATAATAAAAGAATGAGAATATAAGAAAAAGAACAGATCTGTATGTCAAATGGTGGCAAGTCGCTTTCGGGTTATCACGTGATTTGTAGGTCATGTGATAAATTGCATTTTCGAAGTTTACGTGAAAAACGATGTGTTTCGTATTGAAAAGCAAGAGAAATTTCGTACTATTTCGTAATTTGTCTTGTTTTCTAGTGTTTTTGTTTACCTAACATATATATTAAAAATGTATTTGTTTACCTAACATATATATTAAAAAATGGATTTGTTTACCTAATATATATATTAAAAAATGGATTTGTTTACCTAATATATATATTAAAAAATGTATTTGTTTACCTAACATACATATTAAAAAATGGATTTGTTTACCTAATATATATATTAAAAATGTATTTTTTTACCTAACATATATATTAAAAAATGGATTTGTTTACCTAATATATATATTAAAATGTATTTTTTACCTAACATATATATAAAAAATGGATTTGTTTACCTAATATATATATTAAAAATGTATTTGTTTACCTAACATATATATTAAAAAATGGATTTGTTTACCTAACATATATATTAAAAATGGATTTGTTTACCTAATATATATATTAAAAATGGATTTGTTTACCTAATATATATATAAAAAATGGATTTGTTTATCTAATATATATATTAAAAAAATGTATTTGTTTACCTAACATATATATTAAAAAATGGATTTGTTTACCTAATATATATATTAAAAAATGGATTTGTTTACCTAACATACATATTAAAAAATGGATTTGTTTACCTAATATATATATTAAAATGTATTTTTTTACCTAACATATATATTAAAAAATGGATTTTTTTACCTAATATATATATTAAAAATGGATTTGTTTACTTAAAATATATATTAAAAATGGATTTGTTTACCTAATATATATATTTAAAAAAATTATTTGTTTACCTAACAAATATATTTTAAAAAAAAAAACGTTATTTTTGGGGAGCTTCTAAAATTACTTAATGTATATAATGCTTATATACGTACATTATAAAATATTTTCTGTTTATACGTTATTTTTATAGATACAAATATTTAAGCAAATGCTCTGTTTATAATAAACAGTATTAACATTTACCGGCCTGAATATCTGAGAAATTTCATAGAAAATATGGGTCTTCCGACAGGAATCGAACCTGTCTCCTACACAGAACTGTCACAGCCTGAGGTGCTATCACATTTGGCTAAAGAGGTAGCGTTTGGTTAGTACGGTTCAATTACTGTTTTTGAACTACAAACTTTCCATGACATTCAGGCCGGTAAATGTTGTTAACACTGTTTATTATAAACAGAGCATTTATTTAAATATTTGTATCTATAAAAAATAACGTATAAACAGAAAATATATTAAAATAATTGTCGAATTTAGTCCATTTCATAATATATACGTACATTATATGTTCCAAAAGTTGACAGAGACCGGGGTGATAGTGAAGGCAAAGCTCCCACTGTCTATAAAATGCTTCCGTGGCATATGTCTCAAATAGGCTTTGGCAACAAAGTCCAGCTCCAAGCCAGAAAACGGGCGAAGGCGAACAACTGGCGCCTCATAACCAGCTGATTTGTGCAGATAGAGACCGACAGCTTAGGAAGGCAGTCCATCTAGGAGAAAGAAAACCCTGATTTTAAAACTCCGCTGCTTTGCGGTCACATCCAAACATGGAAACGGCTATGGAAGTAAATCTAGACAAAAGTCCCGGAGTGGAGTTCGACAACCTTCCGGCAACTTCTGCAGCTAAGCCGTCCCCAAATGTATTCTTTTGGATTTTGTCAGTATGGACGAGTAAAGGGAGGTATGTCGTCTGGGCAGCGAACGGCCTTCATATATCATCTCCCAGGCCTGCGCCATGGACAGGTCACTCCAGTCTCACCACCAAAGGACTGAATTTTGACCAAACAGGGTGCTACATTTATTTTGCGTGTTTAATACTACGACAATTACTAACGTATAGAAAATCTTCAGGTTATTATTTTTAACCCATAACTGGAGGGAAGAAAAAGATCGATTCATGCCTAATCAGAATTTGATAAACAAAGAAATTAAAACGTGAATATGAAGTGGGGGATCAGTATATAAGTTGACCATGCATTTTATGGCCACGGTAGCTTCTATACATTTATATTCCATAGCATGTAACAAAGATTAAAAGATATGCCAGTATTTGATTGATTTGTTTTTACAGCTTATCAAACTTTTGCAGGTTATTTAAAGCAAGAAAATATTTTTAGATTGTAAAAATGTTTTTATTAGGTTGGTGCAAAAATAAGGACGTAATATTGTCATTTTTTGACGTATTTTTTAACGTCAAAAAATGACATTATTACGTCATTATTTTTGCACCAACCTAATAGATATTACGGGTTTAGTTATCATACTAATTAAGACATAGCTGAAGGTGTTGCGTGTAAGGGAATATAATTTACCCAACTGGAATTTGAACTCGGCTCTCCGATTAACAATTCTGAGCCATTATCTATCACACTATACACATATCCAAAGTTACAGCACTTGGTGGTCTAGCTCGATGTTGCTGAACTTAGGTGAACGTACGGGAACCAGTGTTTCAACCTGATGTGGCCGTAAGCCTAAATTGAACTGAGATGATAGAAGGAAGGCGATTGTTTTGAGCCATTCCGTCAAATTAGAAGAAATTCTCTGTATTGAAAAAAAACCATCGTTTAAAATTATAGCTTTTATCTGAATTCGAACAATGACATAAACTTTGCTGGGAAATGCGTAACAAACTGAAGTTATCATCAGAAACATCGGTCTCATAACAGGTTCTGGTCATTAGACTCGTTGTTCATTTAAACATACGACTAAGACCATCTACATGATTCGGTAACGTGCATCTGGATCGAAAGTTGGAGAGGTATTCATTCATGCGTAGACCAGGCGTAATCCACCGATCTCCAGATCAGACCGCTGTGTCAATGTTTAAGTAGACCTGGCGGAGTCCACAGATCTCTAGGTCTGACCGCAGTCAATGTTTAAGTAGACCTGGCGTAGTCCACCGATCTCCAGGTCAGGCCGCAGGCAATGTTTAAATAGACCTGGCGGAGTCCATCGATCTTCAGGTCAGACCGCAGAGTCTATGTTTAAGTAAACCTGGCGGGGTCCACCGATCTCGAGCTCACACCGCAGAGCCAATGTTCTCCGACCTGAAGACTCGCTTTGGCTACAGACACGTGAACATTGATTCCCTTCAGTCTATGAAACCCTACGCCCACTGATGTGTTGTCATCGCTGCCCTGGATATATTCTCATGAGCTCGGGCACCCCGGCGTGGTGCAATGTTTAACAAGCTTGACTTGCTAAAACCGTTACGACTGAATAGTGAATTCGATCCTCACTGGGTGCCCCATACTTTCAGTTTTGTGCCACATCTACGCTACGCTTAGAAAATCGATGTATTCTTATGAGCTCAATCCCATGTAAAGATTATGCCTGCAGTGGGTCGAAACTCGTTTATAAAGATTATGCCTGCTGACGGTCGAATTCTCTACTGGTGAGAACTTCAGAGTCACTAAGCATGGAGCTGCCCTCATAGTCCTGTGCCAGGGGCGATAAATTGAAGAGTATTTTTTTTTATTTTTGTTATTTTTTTCTGCAGTGGGACGTCGGATGTTATGTATTATTATTAATATTGTGGATGGTATGCTTTTGACAGAAAATAATTTTAAGTGCTTAATTACGAGGTCACCTCCGGGGTCCATGATTAAAAAAGGTAGGTGAGTTATCTATGCAAATTTGTGACGTTTTGTTTAGATGGAGAGTAAGCTTTTGTCGCTCTGAGATGCTGATGTGTCCAGGAATGTTACTCATATGATTTTTGGTACCTTGTTTTATCATACCAAATGCCCATATTACAATAGGCATAAACAGTTTTCAGTCCCCATAGATTTGTTACTTTGATTTTCAGGGTCTTCTTCTCGGTCTTCTTCTTCTTCTTCTTATTATTATTATTATTATTAAAACAGGCTCCAAACTATGGTCCTTATGACATATAGGAGAATTGTCATTTAATTGATAGCACTTTTCTTAGTATATGGGATGTTCGTAGTAGGGCGATCTTCTGGGCAACTTGTATGTTGATGTTACCTGGGAGACTGTTAGTAAAATTGTCCATTCCATTTCTTATAAGGCCCAGAGAACTCCGATTACTATTAGTACAATCACAATCTTAATTACCTACATCCTGTTAATCTCGATCCCCAGATCCTTGTATTTGGGCAATTTCTCGATAATTTATATAGTGGTATTTATCTCAGATGGTACTGCTATGTCACTAAGCATAAACTTCCTTAATTTCTTGTTTTATAATACTATCAGGTCTTTTGGCTTTTATGTCCCTGCCAGTTTGAATTGACATGTCCCAGAGGATAGTTACATCGTTATTTTGAGTAACTGTGTCTGGTTGGTGATCATACCATCTCTTAGTGGTTTCGATTTTGTGCTTCTTGCCTATTTCCCCGTGCATATATGTCACTACATTATGTCTGTGGGTATATTCATTTTGGGCTAGTTCTGGATATCCCGAGATAATATGGTCGACAATTTCATCATATTATCCGCAGATCCTGCATTTCTGGTTAGTTT